ACAATTTTTCTATCTCCTGTATAGTTAATGCACTCTTCTTGACTTCTTTATTGACTTCATTTTCATTAGGCATAGGATCTGAGGTTGGCCTAATCTTTGTCGTTGCGCTCGAATTTTTAACTACTGCATGGTGTGGCATATAGTGACCTCTGTCTTTATTGTCATCAATAACCTCCTATATAATGCCACTATTTAACCACTCTTGAAAAACGTCACTATAGTCTGATAGTATACCTAACTTACTCAATTTTTTCGTGGTATATCTAACACGTTTTTCCGCCATATTAAAATTCGTGGAAAGAAAACCGACTGAATCTTTCCATGGCAGCATAACTTCATATCGCCTTTCATCGTTTACGTTTATCGTTTGTTCAAAAAAACGTATCACATCGGCCTCTATCTTACTCTGTGCCTTAACTTCACTATCATCAGTGATCTCTAACGTTTCTAATTTCCATAGGTTGTCGACGTCATACGAGCAAGAAAATGCACTTACCGGTACTCCACTAGCGCAATATACGCCCATTGCAGGGCCCTGAATCGTCCATCCTAGCTTAGTCTCCATTACTAGCAGAAGTTTAAGATTAGAATCGACCCTAGAACATCGGAACCTATTAATATGCTGACCTCACTTTGATTACTCTCACAATCAGTTATGTGAATACCTTTTTGCTGTAACTTATATACTAATTCACCCTGCCTTAGCTTTGGTAAGTAACCACATATTACATCTTGCTCTAGCATCTCCATTTTCATTTCATAGCTCCGATTAATATCTGAAACATGCACTTCATATACCTTATGTATTTGCTTCTTAGTAACCACTAGTTTAGTTTGACTCATCTCCTGCTTCCCTATTTCCTCTAGGTTCATATTCTCCGCTATACTTTTCTTTATGAACGATCTTTGAGCGCCAGAGTCTAACAAAGCTCGTACACTCACTGTTTTATCTCCGTGCATTACATTCACCATCAACGTTTGTAGAAGTACTGTCCTTGCTTTAGCTGCCACAAACTGATTTAACATAGCTTGTTTGTTATTTACGTTGTGCGTCGTTTCATCTTTTTTGCCACCAGCATTGTTTAATGTTTCACACATTATGGGAAAGTGTCTCCTTCGGCAAGCAACGCACTTCACATGTTTTCTACATTTGCTCGCCATGTGACCAACCCTCAGACAAATATAGCATGCGTTCTTCCGCTTCAAGAAATTTCTGCGTTCATCTAACGACATCGATACTATAGACGAACATTCCGAGCTCGAATGCGACTGCTTATCGCACCATATGCAAGTCTGCGTTCTCTCTACGCGGTGGTCCATGTCAGTTTGACTTTTTATGTCATTGGGTTTATTTTTCTTGCTAGCGGCTGTAAAGCATGATGTTGATGGACCTGCATACTCTTTGGTGAAACTGTTTTCGCTACATTAATCCTTTCCTCCGCTTCTACTTCCGTCTTTATGAAATTCAGTAGTTTTGACAACTGAGTACCCTTCTCCGCCTGCATATGTGATCTGCTCCATGCCCGTAATATGTCGGCTGGCAACGCAGATTCCACCAATGGATATAAAAATGCTGCATATTTATCCTGAGTAAATCCAAGTGACTCCAACGCTAAGATTTGAGTCATGACTCTATCATATAGAGGCCTTATGGCAGTGCTAGTCTTACCTTTAGCTTGTGCAAGAGTGAGCTGAAGTAACTCCCGTACGTAGTGCTCAATTATCATAACGTCACGCGCAAATCTTTGCTTTAACTGCTCTAGCACTTTTCGATAATTTTCTGCTGACGGAGGAAAACTTTCAACTAGCTCCCTAGCACTAGATCCAATCTCCATACTCTGAATAAGATATTGAAATTTGTCCTCTAAATCAATCTTGCCGTCTGAATCAATCTTTTTAGACTGCGTCCAAAAAGTAATCCATTTGCTAATTTCGCCGTTAAATTTAGGCAGTTCCAACTTTGGTAAACGTAAATGACGAGACATACCATCTCCAGTGATGCTCTCATTCGGGACATTTCTTGACAAAACTGTTCTTTTAGAATCACATATGCTCCTATTGTCATGCACTTACGTCATGCATCATTTCTGTGACCTCTTTTACTCTTTGTTCAAGATAATACCACCTCGTCTCATATTCATCAGCGCTATCACTCTCGTTCTCTATAAGCTTTTCATCACGGATCTCTGAGTCTAATAATAAATTGAGGAACTGGTTTTGAATGTCTGCCAACTGGTTGTATTCTTTACTCAACTTACTGAAATCCGCTAGAATACGAGTAGACGTCTCCTTATTGTCCAAATATTCCTCCAGCTTGTTGGACGTTATTGTGAACCGTCTCCTCGCTAACGTACGCTCCAATCGTATTCTATTCATCGTATTAAGATTCTTTTCTCACTGTCACGGTCGCCAAATGTTCGTGAATATTAACCGGCGCTATGCCTTGCCCCGAACTTCTTTATTTTGTTAAGGAAACCCGTGTAAGTTCAGGGATAAATATATATTAGAGCGTACAGAAATTATAAAAACACAAACTTATAAAAACTTACTTCAGTGGAAAAAACATGACACACAATAATTTTTTGTCTATCTATCTAACATGTCAAACTAAATTCAAATTAAATTATGCTGCCTGCATCTTCAAAAAAAGGTTCCACGACATTACATTACATTCCACGTTGTATATGAAATGAATAAATATATATTTATATATGTATATTATTTCCATTAATTTGTTAATTTACCCTTTCATACAGTATCAATCTTTTTTAAGTTAAATAAACTCTTTTGCGTCTGGTTAGACTATCGAACTTAAGGAGTAAACTCCAGTCGTGCGTCGGAGCTGACACACACAATTTTTTTTCTTTGGCGTTGCTTATTACCGCACAATGGTAATCATGAAATATCGGTATATTTACGAATACGAGTTCTACCGTGGTACCAGTGCTGAAGAAACAGCTCGAAGGAATTATGATGTGTACGGGCGGCGCCGCGGCGCTGGTGTCGTAAAAGAAAGCGGTACGTTTTTAGTGTGAACGTTTTCGTTCTGAAAATTTCTACCTTCAGAACCAACCCCGTGGACGGTCGGAGACCAAAGTGGAAAATAAAACACTTCAGAGATAGCTGCAGGCTTTGGGGTTAGTGACAAAACTGTATTTAATCCACTTGAAGCAAATCGGGAAAGTTAAAAAACTTGAACGATGGGTACCTCATAAATGGAGTGAATCGAACTTGCAAACACGCCTCGACTGCTGCGTTACTTTGCTCAACCGTCAAAATAATGAAGGGATTTTAAATCGAATCATTACTTGTGATGAAAAACAGTTACTGTACGATAATTGGAAGCGCTCATCGCAATGGCTGAACCAGGGTTCAGCCAGCCAAATCCTACCCCAAACAAAAATTTACTCAGGAAAAGTTACTTGTGAGTGTTTGTTGGACTAGCGCCAGTGTCGTTCACTACAGCTTTCTAAAATCTGGCCAAACGATTCCGGCAGTTAACTATTGTCAGCAACTGCAAACCATGAAGGAAGAACTAGCTGCTAAACAGCCGAGATTGGTCAATCGCTTTAGGCCACTGCTGCTTCGCGGCAACGCAAGACCACACCCTGCATAACAAACAACCACTAAGTTAGAGGAGCTACATTTGGAATGTCTGCGACATCAACCGTACTCCCCGGACCTTGCTCCAACAAATTACCATTTTTTCCAGAATTTGGACTATTTTTTACAAGGAAAAAAATTTAACTCCGATGCGGCAGTCCAAACCGCCTTCAAAGAGTATTGATTCTCGCCCCCATGGTTTTTTTAGTAAAGGGATCAATGAACTACCTATGAGATGTTTTTATTTATTTTTTAAGCATTTAACTGCTAGATGTCCAAATCTAAAGAAAAGTTTACTAGAAAAAAATCCACGCGGACCAGGCAGCGGACGGGACTCGAACCCGCATCCTTCGCAATCCGGGCGAATGCACTGACCATTATGCTACCACAGCCCTATTCGCCGCGTCTAAATTTTCCTAGCCTTAAGCTGCAAGGCAGCGCCATCTCTTCGCATTGTAGGTAACCCACAATGTCAAATGAATACTTTTTCAAGTATTAAACATTTGAAAGAAGAAATAGTAATTATAGTTATGTTTTTTATTTATTTTTTAAGCATTTAACTGCTAGATGTTTAAATCTAAAGAAAAGTTAACTAGAAAAAAATCCACGCGGACCAGGCAGCGGACGGGACTCGAACCCGCATCCTTCGCAATCCGGGCGAATGCACTGACCATTATGCTATGGTCCGTCCGCTGCCTGGTGCGCATGGATTTTTTTCTAGTAAACTTTTCTTTAGATTTAAATACATATGAGATGTCAAAAGTGCAGAGATAAAAACGGTGCATACTTTGAATAACTAAATATATGTTAAAATACTTTGTACTCCTCCCGTACATAACGCCAATTTCATATGGAAGGACCTAATATTATAGAAAATTAAATAATTATATATAGAGGCGACGATAGCTCATCTGACGATTTTGACTGATCATCAGAAGGAAATTACTGATATAAAATTCAATCACATTTCGTTTTTCTTGATTTGCGATTGAGCGAATGTTATTGTAACTAAATTTTTTTAAATAAAGACAAGTAGACCTATCGCACCTTTGTAACATTTCAAACTACCTACAATATTTTAATTTTAGGTATAATTTTCTAATTAGAACTAAAATCCAATGCACTTTACAATACATAATCAAATCAATCAAATATACAAAGAAGCTTGAATCGATTTATTGTGAGTATCGTGTACTGAGTCGTAAGGTCATCACTAGTTACGTCACGATGACAAATGCCAAACGACAACATTTGTGACGCTGACGGCTGCTGTAAACTGCTGTTGTAGATTTTGTTTTGTTCATAGAGAAAAGTAATACACTGTAAAATTTTGTTACAGCTTCATCGAAGTGATAAAATATTTATTTTCATTTTATTGCATACAAAACATCTAAAAAATGTCTTTAGATACAGTACCTAAAGATTTAAGAGGGCTGCGTGCTTGCTTGGTTTGCTCGCTGATTAAAGTGAGTTTCAGTTTACATTTATAAAGTAAAATACATTTTACAAAGTAAGCCATCTAGATAAACTATTTCAGTTTTATTTGCGTGAATATAAATTAAATTATTTCCTAGAATTCTATATAATGTGTAAGGAATCATGTCAATTTTGTTCATAATTCACAATCATGGAACCCAATGCTTGTATGGTTATAAATTATAATTTTACTGAATATGTAAAAAGGATGTTTATTTAAAACTATTTCGACAAGTTATTGATGACTGATCCATGGCTACACTTAGAGAAGTCTATAATATTTGATTATTGCTATCTTAATGAAAATGATAGCATCAACTTTGATGAAAGTTATAATTGTTATAAAGTTTAACTGATAGAGTAAACTTTTATTTGACATTTTGAGTATAAGTTGATGGTGTCGATTCTGGCATGATTGTTTAAACCTAAACTTAAGTTTAACAACAGTGTATCCTTGTTATTCTCTATACAGACAGGTCCTAAATTTATTTTTAGGTTTAAAGAATCAGGCCAGTATCTACACTAATATGTACCTAAAATTAATGATTATCTTACAGTCAAACAAAACCCCTCGTTGTGTGTGTGCTATCGCATGGAATTTTTTCTAGTTATATTTTGTTTAGATTTAAACATCCAGCAATTCATGCTTAAAAAATAAAAATTATAACTATACTTTGTTTTGTTAAGATAATATACTGTCTATCTTTTGATATGTTGTACAACATACTTTTCATTATTATAAGAATCTAAATAAATTAAATTAAAAAAAATATTTATCTCAAAGTTGGGTTTTGTTAGTTAATTCTTCCACTAAGACAACAATATTTTCATGCAGAGAACACTTCGCCTACTTAAAATGCTTTTTAATCATGAAAATATTTACATTATTTACTTTGCATTTCTAGACTTTTGATCAATTTGAATATAATGGCTGCGACAATTGTGATGAATTTCTTAGAATGAAAAATAATAAAGACAATGTATATGACTGCACCAGTAACAATTTTGATGGGTAAGTGCACTATTTTCTGTAAAATGTTAATATTTAATGAGTGATATCTAATTTCCTAGGTCCTATTAACTTCTAGATATAATGGTAATTAAAAACTATGGAGTTTTTCTTATTTCTTAAAATAATTATATGTAGTGAGGAACACCTTATGTACTAGTAACTATTAACTACTTAGATAAAAGTATAATTTTAAACTTTCTGTAGACTGTTTTTATTTCTTTTATAGAATGATAGCAGTCATGAGCCCAGAAGACAGTTGGGTGTGCAAATGGCAGCGAATCAGTAAGTTTAAAAGAAAAAATAAAATTTATTATATTCCTATGCAAGTTTCCGTAATGATAAATTATCTCTCTTCCCTTTTTACAGGTAGATTTTGTAAAGGAGTGTATGCCATTTCAGTATCAGGTAGATTACCAGCTGGAGTTATAAGGGAAATGAAAAGCCGTGGTTTAGTATACCGACCCAGAGATACTAGCCAAAGATAAAGTATATTACATAAGACAATTGTAAAAAGAATAAAAAATGGGTTTGGCACATCTCTTTTCCATTTGCATTTACTCACGCAAACAAAACGGTCTAGTACCCATTGGCATAATTGGACCTTACCTACAAAAAGTACCTATTCTACCTCCTATCAAGAACATGGTGTCCATTGGACCCTCAAAGATGGACTTACCTACACAAGCGGACCTATTGGAAATCTTAATATTTGGCTAATTCTTTTGAAATGGTAAAGTATAATTGTGTAGAAAACTAACATTGTAAAAGAAATAAAACACAAAGGTTATAAATCTAAGTAAACATGTTTATAAAATTCGAAACATTAATCATCAGCAATTATCACACAGATTAACTATTCAAGCACAATTCTTATTTAAGGCCGCTGCATATGTGACGAGTTTTTATCCGGACGGGACGGGAAGTTTTGGTAACATCGTTTCATACACAATGTATCCAAAAACACATATGTCACGGGTACATGGACGGGGCGGGAACGTGGACGGGAAAAATATCGTCGCGGACGATGTTTAGCACGTCCCCGTCCCGTCACGCCTTGCGGGTGCCCCGTCCCGCTCGTGGTTTCGCTACGTATGCATAGCACAGTCGCTCTGTTCTGCTCATTCCGAACAGATCTGTTGATCAAGACGCGTTGATCCAAGAATATAAAATTACATTTCCAATCATTATAAAATCAACACTAGCACGTTAGATCCAAATCACTGTCACGGTGCGTATGCGTTTGCACCACGTTCCCGTTTTGAACGAGATAATCACGTGCCCGTCCCGCTCACGTCCCGTCCGAAGTATTTACTCGTCACGTATGCAGCGGCCTTTATTCTAAATAATGATAAAATAAAATACCAATGTAATATTTTCATATTAGATTTTATAAAAAGACATCATATTTTCACAGTTATTCAATCAATTTATCAATTTTGTAAGGATGCTGGCTACCCTGTACTGTACGTCATAGTTTTACTGTGTGGCAGCTTTTATCGTCAACTCAATCACTATAGCAAATGTCTATCAGTCCAATCATGCATGATATTCGTGAAATCGTGGTAAACTGATTATACCAATTTATGATTGATTCTTCTTGAAATAAAATTCCCATAAAATACCTAATAATGTAACGTGTGCGAGATGAACATAATCATTGCTTTGAATCAATCACTATGGCAAATGTCAATCAGTCCAATCATGCATGATATTCGTGAAATCGTGGTAAACTTATTATACCAATTTATGATTGATTCTTCTTGAAATAATCATCATCATCATCATCAGCCTATTAATGTCCCCACTGCTGGGGCACAGGCCTTCCCTATGGATGGAATAGGGAGATTGGGCCATGACCCACCACGCGGGCCCAATGCGGATTGGTGGGTGCTAACGACTGCAGATGCAACCGGGACCAACGGGTTAACGTGCCTTCCGAAGCACGGAGGAGCTCGAGATAGTAAATTTTTGGTCACCCATCCAATGACCGACCACTGCCAAAGTTGCTTAACTTCAACGATCGCAGCCGGACGCGCTAACCAGTTGTGCCATTGAGCTCCTTGAAATAATATTCCCATAAAATACCTAATAATGTAACGTGTGCGAGATGAACATAATCATTGCTTTAATTTAACTATATATTAGTAAAGTAAGGTCATGAGGTTGTACAAAATCAAGTATTATTAATTTTTCCGGGTCTTCTTTAATTTCTGTCTAAAACTGATACACATTATGTATAGAAATATGTACATGCTTGAGACGATATATTATCAGTTAAATGTAATATCAGAGAAATTAATAATAAGAAAATAAAAAACGACGTATTTTTGTACACTATGTTTTAGCAAGTCCCACGCGTAGCATTGCCGCAAAAAGCTAGTTTGCATAATAATATGTGATGTGTCAAGTAAGTAGTATATGTAGAGTATTAAGTGTTGGTCAAGTAGCGTGACTTACAGGAAGTTTATCGATAACGTGCATGCGCCAGCACAGAGTACTCTCACACTACTGCACTTAAAGTTGCGCTACATGAGGCGAGAACAGGACAAATGTCGTTAATTCGAAGAAAAAGACAACCTGTTTTTCTATATATTTTTTGAGTACAACGTACTGTTTGGAGTCAGTACTTATACAGTATTTATTTAGTGGCTTTATAACACCTAGGGGAGAAGGAGGCACCTTAGCACAGGGGCAGATTTGAACATTTCTGAAGGTAACCTCACGTTAATTTATGCCGTAACTACATTTTAATATTGGCAGCACTGGCTGTGACAGACGTAAAGTAACAAAGCGCGCCCGTTTCGTTTTCAAAAAGATTTATAAGCTGATTTTTATGAGTCCAAATACGAAAAATGTGCTGATGTCAATAATTTCCTTCTCAATGTCTGCAATTTTTTACATTACTGTACTTTTCTCAATAATACTGTCAATAAAGTCCAAATTTTCGTTGGTCTTGTACCCAATGGACCCTCAAGATTCGACCCGAAAGCAATAAGTGCCTATTGGACCTCATTTATATGGCCCATTGGACCTTCCTAAAAAATTATATTCAATGTGCCCATTGGACCTCTTTTTTGGTGCCCACTGGACCTTCAACATTAGACCCTACTGAAACTGTCACCACTGGCCCTTATTTGTATGTCCCATTCGACCCCCCAAAAGATTATATAGAAAGTGCCCATTGGACCCATTGAACCATATTAACGGTTTTATTAAGAAAAGTACTGGCATTATAGCTAATAAAGGTTTGTTACCATCTACCCTTGAGTCTAGAACTATCGGAGACTCATAAAAAAAAAGGTTACATATTAGTGACCATGAAAGTTTAAAACAAGTACTGTCAAATACAAAACTGCAGACAAAAATAAAATTAATAGTAGATGTTAGAAAGCCACTAAAAAAATACTGTATAGGTACTGATTCCAAACAGTAAGGAGTTCTTTAAAATAAAATATGGAGAAAACAGTTCGTCTTTTTCTTCGAATTAACAATGATGTCGATTCTGGCATGATTCTCTAAAGCTAAACTTAAATTTGACAACAGTGCATCTTTGTCCTTCTCTATACAGAATGAAAAGGTGAGACTGATGTTAAATTTAGTTTTAAGTTTAGAGAATCACGCCAGAATCGACACCAATATTTGTCTTGCTCTCGCCTTATGTAGCGCAACATTGAGTGCACTAGTATTGGAGTATTCGGCATTAGCGCATGCACGCTATCGATGAAACAAATACTTAACGAGAGTGCCCGGTAGTTGTGCGGTCGAAGCGGTCATTAGTACTTTCTGTAAGTCACGCTACTTGACAAACACTAAGCATACATGAAAACAATCTTTTGCGGTCACGCTACGCGTGGGAGTTGCTAATTTTTTCTTTCTATGTCAGTGCATTCGCCTGGATAGAGGAGGGTGCACTACCGTCTGCAGCCTGATCCACGTGATTTTTTTCTAGTATTTTTTTTTCTCTAGAGATAAACATCTAGCAGTTAAATGCTCAAAAACTATAACTATAATTGCTATTTCTTCTTTCAAATGTTTAAATAACACTTTTAAAGGTAGCAGCGCCTCTGCTGCTGTGCCGCTCTAGTGCGGTTTGACCTTAAAGCCTTGTGTATATTAACGTGTCGTGGCGCGCCAGAAGCACATCGTTTTCATACATTAATTACTATGGTTAGAACAAGGAACTTATATACTAACTGGAATGCTTACGCGACCCTCAAATCGTTCCGTAGAGCAAAGCTGAATTAGTTGAGTGTGTCTCGTTCTAGTAGTGTGCCCAAACAGTTACTTCATTGATGAGACAATTAATTTTCTTTGAGTGAAGGGACCTTCTTATTTTCAACTCTATATCATTAGCTTGAAAAACAAAAAAAAATACCTAAATCTTTAAAAGACCTTCCGAGCTTATTAAATATGACGCTATATATATTGCATCTGTTTTTTATCCAACATTGAACACGATTAACGGTTCTTAAATTTTAATTTGTCAAACGATACGTTTTTCAATAATTCTTATGTATACTTTAGATACCTACCTAGGAAAAAAAATAAAGTATAACCACTGAATAATATTTAATTTATTTATTATTTAAATTACAGATTATTACTTTAAAAGCTTTAAAAAACACGATGCATCGTTTTATAACTTGATGTTTAGTTTTCATCTTAACGAATTAGGTAGATTTGTCTTCATTTTATGTCCTCGAAAAAGTAATATGATATATTTTCCATAGTGTTTATAGTAGAATAGTATTGTATAAATAAATTGCAATAGTAAAATCCGTTCAAATATTCATTCATAACCGTATAACATGTTATTTTTTTGTTGAGCATATATTTATGTAACTAGCGACCGCCTGCGACTTAGTACGCGTAGAGTTAGTTATTTGCACATACTTTTTCACCCCAAAAGGGGGTTTATTTCTAAAGATACATTATAAGTACATCTTTGTCTTTTAAAAACAACTATTGACCTCGCCCACATGATCAAATTTAAATTATTTATATCCAAAAAGTGCTTACACGTGTAATTCGACTTGATGTTTTTGAAATCTCATAGATGGCGCTGTTTTAAAATTGTCTATTATGTTTATCGGTCTAAGTTACTTATAGTGTGAAGTTAGCTAGCATGGATCGTGGAAATTAAACAACTTTCACAGTGGTCGGTTATTAGATGGTGACCAAAATTATTCATAACTTCATAAGTATGAACTTACTCCTCCTTCCTTCGTGCTTTGGAAGGCACGCTAAGCCGTTGGTCCCGGCTGCAGCTGCAATCGTTAGCATCCATCAATCCACACTGGGCCCATATGAGCCATATAGTTTATTGGAAGCATCGCAAGTGCTCTCATGCATAAATGAAAGTTACTATTAATGACTACCATTTAAAAAAAATAGAAATGTTATTCGTTTAAATAAAAATAAACTAAATTTTGGTTGCATTGACATCAATAAATTGACTGCAATCAAACATAAAGGAGATTGCTCA